CAAAAATGAAGATTGAGTTTGATCTGGAAACTGTCTCTGCAAAAGGTTTCAACTTTGAATAATACTTTAGGTCTGAAACTAGCTTGCTGAAGTTTCCAAAGTGCACAAGACCAAAAGTTAGAGCTTAAAGTAATGTTGACCAGCATGAGAACTTCGGAAGTAGTATAGCATCTTAATGCACTGACATCTGTTCAGAAATGTATTTGAAGCTTTGGTTCATAGCATTAGTTCTGCAATGTGATTTTTTCTGAGATAGTTCAGTTCTTGTTTAATAGAAGTTCAGTCGGTGGTTAATACAGGAGTTCTGAGAATTGATTCCTTAGCATGTTTCAGCCATATTGAATGTGTGTTATAAATGAAACAAACGAACAGAGAGCAAAAATGCAAAATTAAGAAGAGATTTGGGATTTAAAAAAACTTCGATGAGAAACAAAATATTGATGCATTTGTGGCCAGGAACAAGACTGTGTTTAGTTTCTAGATGACATTACATATAGCTTCAACAATAGTGAAGAAATGAAGAATAGCTGTATAAATAGCAGATTTTTCACTGAAGCTAAAACCAACCCAAAAATAGTAACATAGGAAAAAAACAAAACCAACCCCCAAACATACAAATTTAAGGTGGTTCTAGCCCTGTGGACTGAGTGTGAGTTGTGGGGTTTTCCGCAGAGTTGCTTTGTGAGATCATTTTCAGAAGCAGTGGAGAGTCCAGGTCATCTGTTACATCTGATGTCACCTCTTAGAAGAAGAAGCTCTGCTGTGATTTGCTTTTCAAGTAGCTGGATGGTACACAAGTTGAATTTAATAATGATTTCTCATCAGGGAAATTAAATATCCTTGGGTATTATAGAGACAATAAGCTGTGATCTGAGGGTGTGCATGCAAGCTTGGTGGAAGTGTGCTACAAGCAAAAGTGGCAGCACCTGACATCCAGCATATCGGGACTGAGCGGAGTTGGAAATTTTGTGCTTAAATGGTCCCACTTGGTAGCTGGGATCTTGCCTCTCTCTAATGAGGAAACACCAAGAAAGAAGTTTGAAGTATGGTTGCTTTCTTCAGAATTACCAGCTAGTGCTTTGTAGTACTATGTTAGGTAACTGTATTATGTCCTTCCTGGGGTCCCTCACTAGACATGGAGTGTTTCTTCATCAGGATGTTTGCTTTGGTGGAGAATGCCTTTTTGGTGCCCAGGATAGCATACCCAAACTAGCGAGCAGTTTTCAAATGGAGTGAATGCAGTCACACGACCCTTGATTTCTCACTGATGATAAGATTTTAGCTAGCATTGAAAAGATGAATTTTAGCAGCTGGTTCTTCTTCCCCATTAGTTTCATCACCATTCTGTCTGTTGGCACACCTGCCTGTAGTTGTACGCAGCACATGCCATGCACCACAGCTGCTGGGTATGCACTGCCTGATGAACTTGGGCCAGAAGCTTTCTTGGGAGCTGAAACCTGTAGTGACAAGGTCTCTCTTTGGCCTGCTTCATGCTATACATTTGCTTATTCTGATGGAAACAAATGCAATCTGCATCCTTGTGGTAATTCTTGAAATGATGAATAGGGGATTGACTCACTGGAAATTGTAAGCAAATATGTTTTCTGCTCATTCAGTGATTTTGTTTTCTCTAAGTTAGTCTTGTGATAAAACAGAAGCAGAGCAGACTAGAGAAGCAGGTGAGCATGCGGGCAAGGAACACCTTTGACACTTTTTCCAGTCTGGGTGGGAAAACAGACTTTAACTTAAAGTGATGTTCATTGCAATGATGTTTTGTGCTACAGCTTTTCCTCTTTCGTCCTGTTAACTTTATATCCCAGAAGAGTATCAGTGCCAATACTGGCATGTTTTTAGAGGCTTTCTTAAACCTCTTATTTCACAGAAATCTCTGAGCTTTCTGGCTGGTCTGTCCTTTTCTAGCCTAAGCCTTTCCTAAGAAATCCAGCAATTTTCCACTTGAAAATAGCTATGGGTAAAGTCACACACTACTTTCACATAAGATTAAGGGTTTGACAAGGGTTGCGGGAACATAGAAATTCCAAATTAGGTCTGCTTCGTATTTAAACTCCCCTCTCTCAGCCCCTTGTTGCACAATAGTAAACTTTTTTAATACAAGTAGGTTGTTGATATACTCCCAAAAATAATTCCAGTTAGCTGAGGGATGGGATTAAATGCATTAAATAGCCTCCTTGTTTTTTGGTAAAGAAAAAACAAGGTTTAGCTAAAGGCACATAGAAATGTGAATTTAAAGTGTTTTGGACTAGATTCACCTTCCAAACTGCCTTGCAGATGATGCTGCCCTCCCTTGGCGGGGCCCTGGATATTGGTGGTGGATGTGTGAGCATGCTGGATGAGTGGAGTTTGCACTTCAGCTGCAGCCATTTCAACAGGGTTCAGTCGTGGGCTGGGAGGTGAGATAGCAGTTGGGTAGAAAAGCTTCAAAGAATGTAAAATGTGCTCTGTCAGTCTCCATTTAGTGCCAAACTGCTGTGTCTTACGCAGCCAGACCCAAGGCCTGGGGGGGCCCAAGGATCTCCAGTCCACCAGCCTGCTCCTACACTGGTGTTTTTATTGGTGTCTTCCATTTTGTTGGTGTGGTTATGGTAAAGGAAAAACCTTTTCTTCCTCAGCACAGACACTTGATGGGGTATGAAAACCATCATTCTCCTTCTTTCAGGTCTTCTTGTGGCCTTCTTTTCTTAAGAATTTATGGGGCATCAGCTTTGTAAAAAATATACAGACTCTCCTTATCTTACTCTACTTCTTAATAAAAAGAGATTTCTCTTCAACCATACACATCTTGTCTCATTTTTCTGACCCAGGAAATAGCAGTATGAAGGTCCACATCAAGGTTTGGCAGCAGCTGAGAGCTTCAAGTGCGGCAGATGCTGGAGATATGACTTGGATGTGGACACAACTGTTCTCATCTTGGTTGTTTAATGGCATTGTTTGTAATTACTTGCCCTGTGAAACTTATTGGCCACTAGTTCAAGCACCAGTGGGAGCAGTTTTTTTCTTGTGTTTTCAAGAATCCCTAAAATGTTTTTTGGCTTCTTTCGAAAGTCTACTAATTTGCCTTAACATATTGCTTTTATGAAGAGTCACATCTAAGAGGCTGAAAACAAATGCATGCCAGATCTCACTTAGGCATCGTGTCTAATTAGTCTTAAGTATAAGCAGTGGAGTAGTTTTGTATTGTGTACAGGTTTTTTAAAGCAAACTTTTTGCTGTTGTTGATTTCTATAGTAATTTGGAAAACATGCTCCAAGAGTCAAATTTATTTCACATTTGTTTCAAATTCAATTTAAAGCCTTTCACCCTCAACCAAAGAATTTTCAAGGGGAAAAAAATGTATTTGTTGACTTTATCATGACTGGATCTCATACTGATCCAGTGCCAAATCTTTTAGCATTGAAAGGAAGTAAAAACAAGAATTAAGAACTTTCTCTGATTACTGCTGGGATAGTAGCATTTCCTCTACCTGCAATGAAATGCTTCAAAGCAGCATTTATTCAGGCAGTGTAATTTGTATCTTTTCTTACTGGCTGACTTACATCTTTTATTTTACCGTAACACTTGGGCCTGTGTCCCTCTCACTTGATTTTATTCACCTGAGAGACATGTTTTTAGAGGGTGCTGACTGATTGCTTTCTGGAGATGAGGAGCAGAGTGCCTGGCATACTCCAGGGGCAGTGCCTGCTTAAGAGATGTGTTGTCTCTGTGCCAGAGCCCTCTTGCTTGCTTTTTCTCAGTCTTCCTTGATTGTGTGGCTTTCCTTCTAGCTTTGTGTGACAGATTAGATAAAGAATATAAGTATGTAAAAATAGTACCTCAGGTTTTTAACTGTAAATTGACCAACTAGACCAAAGGAAAAAGGAGGAGATGGTGTAAAAATGACTGTTAGCTATTTGGCTATAGGGGTACCTAAGTGCTTGCCTAGCATTCATGTCTTCAAAAATCTGCCCTCAAGGTAAACGATATTGCACTGTGCACAACCTGTGCAAAAGTTAGCAAACATTCAGAGTGTGTTTGGAAGATTAATAGTGTCATAATTTTCCTCACCCTATGTGTTTTTTTTCTTTTTTTTTCGCCCCATAGGGCAGTGTACTAGGGGCTCATCAGGCTGTGTGTTAAATAATTGAGTTGTTATGCCAACAGGCTGTGCTAAAAGGTGTTACATCAGTGATTTCTTTTTCATCCCACTGTGCTTTGATCTCCTGCTATAAAGCAGAAGATCTAACAGTGGAAACTTTTGAAGATGATAGATGAATTGTACTAATTCACTTTTCATAATCCTTACAAAAAATGTCTGTCCTTATCAGTCAGAAAAGATTTAATACCTTTTGTCTCTCGAAAGTCTCATATTATCAGGATTGCAAATGATGGAATTACTGTTACTAAATATTTTACTAAAATATTTTGTAATGCTGCTGTAAAAGCTTTAGGATAAATTAATAAAGATGCTTCTTTGTTATAGCCATGATTTGTTTTTTGCATTTTCCCACTAAAATGTAAAACTAGTTTTCAAGAGACCATTGTGCAGTAGTGAATAGCTGATGTCCTTACTGATGTTAATTTCCCAGCTTTAATTTCATATCACTGAAATTGTCAATCCAAATGTACTAATTCCAAACCTTTTATGTGGTGCTGAAACAAATGGTGAAAGTCTTGGCTCACAATATATAAAGTGCTGTGGCTGAAGGAACCATTGTGACAGTAAGCATCCAGATTTTTGGAGCATAAAATATGGCATCTTCTAGGAATGAAGAACTGTTTGGGCTTGTCTCTGGATAAAATTCATACTTATATTTTCAGATTAAGTTGGTAAAGTTATTGCAGTTTCCCAGGATTTCATCCACCAGAGTCTTGCTCAATATATCTTTCATTAGTTCCCCACATCTCTGGTAAACTCTGCTTAGAGAAAATTGTCAACAATTGCTTAGAATTATAAAAAGTGTTTACCAGCTCTGATTATATTTTCTCTATTTTCTTTGCAATAGCTTTGGGCCAGATAATGCTTTATGTCGATGGCATGAATGGAGTGATAAATCATAATGAAACCATCCAATGGCTGTACACACTTATTGGCTCAAAGGTAAGATTCTCAAAAAATCCCATTTTATATGGTTTTGGTGTTCTTTCAGTTAATTTTATTTGTTTTATGCTTTTAGGGTATAAATAGACTGTGTGTTAGGCTCCAAAATATTCCATAATATTCTGCGCAGAAAGCAGGTCACACTGAGCTGTTACTTCTTTTCTACTGTTTCTATACTCTTCTGTTAGCACATACTCTGCTCTTAGAAGCAAAGATGCCCTCATTACTGTCTGTGTTGCCATTGCACTTGACCATGGAGAAAATTTTTTGGTTTTGTAGTTGTAGTTCCCAAAGCATTCTTTGGAACCACTCTAGTCACCATTCTACACTGCCCAGCTCTGCTGAGCACCAGTGAAGGACATTTCAGAGCAACCTCCTTCTTAAACTAGAATACACAAGTTCAATTGGAAGTTACCTACAGCAATCATCTAGACCGAATGCCTGACAGCATCGCTTTATGAAAGTGGTTATCCAAATACTTCTGAAACCCTGACAGTTTGGGACTTTGCCTACCTCTCCAGTAAGCCTCTTCCAGTGTTTGTCCACCTTCTCAGCAAAGAAATGCTTCCTAATGTCAAGTCTTCATTTGCCTGGAGAGTCCTAGAAGGTGAAGTCTAGTCCCTGCCTGCAGGGTATTCTTTGTTGGCCCCTCCATACTGAGACAAAAGCTGAAAGCTGGGTAGAATAATGATTCTCCAACAGAGTAATGATTTATATAGTGCAGAGTTTACCTTTAAGACCATCTTTGCTGGAATTTGAAGAGCAAGCAGAACACACATTCTAGTGACATGCCATCCTGAGGGGCCACAGGATAGGCATACCCACAAATACACCCTTCTCCAGCCTGCTGCCTCTCTTAATAAGCTTTAGGAAGCTTATTAAGGCCTGCCAGTGGCTGCTGCTGCTCTTACCATGCAGACCTGTACCTACATAAGTATGACACAATAGCTGGCACAGAATATAGTAGTTGTTGTTTACAATTCAAAAGTTGCTGTAATTGGTGGAGTTGAATTAATAGTTACAGTTACTAAGAAATTTCCAGGAATGTTTCAAGTGTCTGAGTCACAGAAAGTTGCTTTTGGGTACTGCAGTGGCATAGGCCGATGCTCTCCCCTTTTCCTCTGTGATAACACAAGGAAAAGGGCTCGATGTCTCAGGGGTCCTTTTTTAACTGTAGAATTTTTTCTACAATGCACAAACTTCACTACTGCAGCAGGTTGTCAAGTCAAAGAACAGATGCTGCAGTATTGAGAGAACTGCTTTTTCTTGGGTTTACATACCTCTATTGCTAGATAAGTAAAAGTAAGTTAATTATGGTTGTCAATCTTAGGTTTAAAGGGCAGGCTTCATGATTGGGAAAAGATAAGGAGAAACTTTTCCCCAGTGTATACTGTTCCACTGTTGCCTAGGCATTACTCTGAGCCATTTGTCTTTCTGAAACAGGGGATGTTGCCACAGTTGGAAAGGCAGTGTGAAATGATAGAGAAACCATTTGGTTCATACAGATCCTCATTTTCTATGAGCATGAACAGATAAAAGAGCAAAAAGGAACAAAAACACTGCTGTGTCCATGACTATTTTAATTCTCTAAAGCACATCATGGGGGTGGAATGGGAGAGAAACATGACTGTATTGCTACCTTGCAGATTAAATTCTTTCTAGATTTTCTTGCTTTGAGTACTTCAGCTCTTGGGTCCTTAAGCTCCTTTCTCCCTCCCCCATTGCCAGCCTGAATGATTATCTCCAGGTCCTGGCTCAGTGCCTGCAGCTGAGGAATGCAGGCAATGTGCTTTGAATAGCTTGGTTTCAGGTAGCATCAAAGTTGCTTTTTCATTATTCTTCGACTGTCTTGGAGGAGATCTAAGTCCTTGTCTGTGTGCCAGAAGTTAACTGAAGGTATGGCAGGCTTACTGTCAGTGTGGTGGGACAGCTGCTTTATTCACTTAAAGGTGGTTTTGACTTTCTGTGAAAAATGAAGCCCTGGAATTTGCAATGCACCTACAGTCTGATTTTCAGCCCTGCTATGCTGGTGCCTTTTCCACAGCAAATATGATGAAAAATACGTTAACATTGCCGATCAAAAAAGGCATAGTGAAACTGCCGATTAAGTCTTGGGACAAATCCCTCTAATAGGATGCAGGAGGAATACAGTTATTCAGCTGCCACCACTGTGACACATGGTTTCTTGCCTTCTCAAAAGCTCTGACTGGGTTTAATATACTTAGCAGTGGAGGCTATTGAATCTGTTCCACAGTTATTTTTTTGTTTGTTTTTATCAAAATCTGTAGTGGTTTTGCCCCTTCACTGTTGCTTGCTCTGCTCTGTTTGCAAAGGGCTGCTGGGTCTGTCACCCTTGCTCACTTTGAGCACTGCATTTTTGCATCACACAGGTTCATCAGACCACCTCGGGGGCTGGCATGCTCAGCACTGCAACAGCTGTGATTTTGGTACCCAGTTCCAAGATCGCTTTATGCACCCAGCAATAATTCTGTATAGGGAGAGGGGAAAGGCGTGGGAAATAAGTTTAAATTAGTGTGAAAGAAGGACTGTAAGCAATTTACTGAAAGTCTCCCCAGATTGTTGCCATTGTATTCCTTACTATTGCTAATTCTGCTGCAGTTTTACCCCTCTGACCATCAATGAGTGCTTATATTGATGAATTATCAGAAATTGTTGATAATTATAGTGCTGTTAGCTAAGTTTGCTCTGAATAAAATTATTAGGGAGGCACTTGGAATTCCAGTGGTGTGACTGCACTGACACTGTTGTCATTGCAGCAGTGCGGAGGCACCAGCTGTGTCAGGGTGAAGAACTGAAAAGCAAGAAGAAACTTAATCTTAGATGACTTATTTGCTACAGCACAGAAAGAGTCTTCTGTTGCAGACTGATGTTATATAGGCTCTAGATTGGAAGTGTGATGGTAGAAGTACAATTCTTTAGTGGTATTATGTGGAGATAAGAGCATTATTGGCACGTGCCAGACTCTTAGGCCCACTGCTAGTCATTTGTAAGATGTGTTCAACCAGAAGTGACCATACCAGTGTGTGGCAGGGAGCTTTAACAAGCTGCCTGTACACTGCTTTCCAGTCATCAGTGGCTGATACATTCCTGGCATAAAACATTGGCAGCATAATCCCGATGTAAATGTACATTATTGCTATTTCATCATTAATTATATGGCCAGCAATTCATCAGTGGTTCCCTGTTTGACAAAACATTCAAGTATGTACTCAGTTATGAGTGTATGGTTACATGCTGTTGGCTTCCAGATAGCTTTAATATGTAACTGAGGTCAGCAGTGAGCTGCTGCAGGCTTGCAAAAGAGGGCTGCAGCAGGGCCAAGGCTCTAACCATCTTATATAAGCTATGAATTATATAAATAGGAAATATTGGTGTCAACCATGTTTTCTCTTAGCATTTGATGCTACCATAGCACATTCATGTTAGAGAGTTTGGTTCTTAGAAGAGAAAACTAGAAGTTAATTGAATGTTACTTTACACTGCTTTCAGAATTGCTCCTTAATTTTTCTTTTTTTTTTTTTTAAACTAACCTGTCAAGGATGATTCCTTAACTGGCCACATGCTGTAGCACTCATGTTTCAACTTCACAGTGCCTGGGAGATGATGTTTCAACATTTTCTCAGTGTTTCTGCTGCCTATGCATTACTACTCCTGCAGTTAGAATTAAGCTCTTATGTTGTATTGCAAATATACTTAGGCGTGTTGTAAATGGACTTGAGGCATTTGTTTATGCTGGCAGCTGGCACTGGAGCTCTTTGGTGCATCTCCAGCAGGTAAATGGTGATAGCTTTTGGAAAATTTCTCTTACCCAAAAGAACGGACACCAGGTTAAAGACACGTATGTATTGCGCCTTATTAAGTCCATGGAATGTATGAGGTTTTATATATATAATATAAAAACTTTTATATGCGTTGGTAATTTCTCTGACCTAGTAAGAGAAAGTGTACTAAACTTCTGGTGTATCAGTGCTTTAAGTTCTCCAGGACTAGCTGTTGACTGTTTACAAAAAGTACATTTCTGCACCAAACATATTGGAAAAACCATAGGCATTTATATCTAGAAAAGCAAATGTTTCTTTGCATCCACAAACCCACAAACTTTTGCCAATCCATTTTGGTTTTCAAAGCCACTTCTAAGACATAAAGTTGTCCAAAATCTGAGTCTAGTTTCACCTTTTCTTTTCCCCCTGTTTCTGACTACTCCTGATAATGATTATTTTTTCCCATCTGATGATCCAGGCTGTTCTAATTTCCCCCAGGAGAGCTAAAGCCCTTTTTTGGCATTGTTTTCAGTGGAAAATAATCCATTTTCAAAGTTGTGCTGGGTAACCTCAGAAGACGGGGTGGAATGCTGGGCCCAGGCTGATACAACAAGGTTGATTAAAGATTCCTATCTCACATCTTGTTTTGATTTTTTTTTCCTACTTTGCTTCTGTCTGAATCCTAGATTGAAAAGTTAACTACAAACTTTAACTATCAAGTTGTTCTCTGTGCCTTGTGTGAACCTTTTTCTTCCTTTGATACTGAAGAAATTACTTTCTGAATGTTTAAAAATGTATTTTTTCTGTAATTAATACTGTCAGAAAGAAGCAAAAAAACCTATTTCTAAGCAAAAGGGAAAACAAAACTCAATACATTCAGATAGAATAATGTAGCTTTAGTGGGTAAATTTGTTAATTGCAAAAGGAAAGTCACAGAGCCAGAGAACTGGTTTGCATTGGGAGGGTTTGTAAAGATGATTTAGTTCCAGGTTCCCCCTGCTGTGTGCAGAGACACCTTCCACTAGACCAGGTTTCTCAGGGCCCCATCAACCTGGCTTCAAACAAGTAAATTAGGGTCTGCTTTTCCTGCATGGTGCCAGGTGTGGGTTAAAGGATGCACATGGTTGGTAGTCATTTCATGAGAATTTTGAGAGAAATAATGTTATTATTTGCAAAAAACCTTTTTTTTTTAATGAATGAATCATTTAAGGTATGTGG